GAAATAGTGCATGGATAATAAATAGGCTCACATCTGGTAAAATTCAGTGTTTGAGGTTTTTTTTTTAATGTCCTTTTATCATGTTCCTGTTGCTTGACTTTATCTGAAGGGATTATGTTTAGAGGGTGTACATAGACAAATAGATATGCTAAAAAAAAAAGGCAATAGTTGATAAGGTATGGGCAACATGGAGCATTCAGTGCAAGCTAAAACCAGCTCCAGACTAAAAATGGTTACTAACGTAACTGAAATTTGTACTTTGGTCATTAAAAAACACAGATAACAAACGAGTAAATTATCCTTCTGACTGGTTTACTTTCAGGAGGCTAGATCATATTTGTCAGTGTAGATCAAGAGAATGGTGAAAGAAGGGAAATAAAAGGAGATATGCTTTGTATTCTAGTAACTAGAATGAGGGGTTGAGAGGGAAATGCAGGTTTCAATTTGATAAGTAAGTGCATGAAACATGCTGGGCTTATGGCAGTGTTGTTGCAGGCCAGAAGAGCTCAGGAAGGATGTGTATTTCTGAGCCCTGTGAGACTAGCAGTTCTTGCTCTTTATCCAGTTCTCATCTCCTCTGCTCATGGAGAGAGTGCCCATGTTCAGAGAGTACTCATGTTCACCATCCAACACCATCACCTATTACAGAATCTGAAGACTTTAAATGCCCAAGAATGGTTTCCAAAGCTCACAATGAATGATTTCATCATCAGTGACCTGACTTCTAGAGCTACCTGGCAGTACAAAATCTCATTAAAGATAAAAGACTAAAATAAATGTAAGCTTTCTGAACAATGTTCCAATTAAAATTGACTTTTCTGGGGGGAAGCAGAACAAAGCAGACCAACAAAAACCGGTTGTCTGGAAAGTTAATAACCTAATTTCTCAAATGCAGAATCCTGAAACACCTTGTTTTACCAACTTCCAGCAAGAAGCAGCATTAGTGAATGCTGTGACAGAAGCCTGGGTTCTAGAAAGATCAGGGAAAAAGAAGAAACTGCAGTAGAAACATTTGGCTTGTCACAATTGTTATATGGCACTGTAGCTGCAACATCGTAATGTGCAATAAAACTGACATGATGAGTTTTCTTTGAAAAGCACTTTGGTTCTGGAATAAAATCACATGCATCAAAAATATGGCATAGCTTTCTGTATTGCATAATGTATTGCATAAGAGAAAATAGAGAATAGCTGTTTCACATTAATGCTTTGTCACATGGGCAGGTGAGGCATGCCAACGGTGAATGAAATTTCACCATGGAAAGCAAATGAGAAAAAAGAGTTTCTGATTCAGTCAACTTCAAAATCATACTTCATTCACAGTAATGTTTTAAACTGCTACAGTTCCAAGCATGATGACTATAACTGAAAGAGGTTTGACAGAAGGAGGATATTTTTACTGTGTCAAGTGTCAGCCCCATGGATTTAATCAGAAGATCATTTAAGTCTCATTGCCTGTAATTTTCCAAGTGCAGTCAGAATCCTTATTTTGATGGATTTTTTTCTTACAGCAACATGAGAAAAAGACATTTCTTTAAATGGCTGTGGATTTAAACTGGCATTTAAACTATTTTAATTACTTGTGTCTAAACTTAGAACATGTATAGAATTTAATACTTTTTAAATCTTGCTGAAATTCTGAGATTTTCCATCGAGATAAAGCACATTTAATGGACTTTAAAAAAAAAAAAGAAAGGAAGAAATGAAACTGAAGAGCAAGCAATCCCACACTCTTTATTACATTTGCCTTTTTTTAGATTGACAAAATGAAAACAACACCCACATAAAATGTAATTGCCAAGATTATTTTATTTTATTTTATTTTATTTTATTTTATTTTATTTTATTTT